AGCAATTGAAACTTTGAAAGAGATATCTTTTTTACTGCAATTTTACTTACAGGAAGAACACTTAATTAAAATACTTACAGCACTAATATTGAAAGAGATATTGAAAGAGATATTGAAAGAGATACTGAGAGTAGTCAGGACACCTTCCTTTTCAAAATAAGTGTTAAAAATCCACACAAACTCACCACCACTTTTCTGTATGCATACTCAGCAAATTCTTTGTTTCCAAATCTTGATTCTGAGGGAAAAGTGTATTTTTCAAGCCACTTTAGGAGAGGCAGATCATAGCCTGTACCCGTGAACACATACTGTGGAGCATGAATGTGAGTGTCAACCAAACCTGGCATCAAAAATTGTCTGAAGTTACACAGAAAAGAAAAGTAATGTAAGTATAAAGAGAGGTAGCAAAATTCATCATATTTTTTAAATACCGGTATACAGTATTCGTGTGAGAGAGAAAAATATGTTCAGCTGTAGTTTTATAAACAAAAGTATAACACTGTGGCCCAAAGAATATTTTAAAGGAAAACAAATATTTATTATATATAAAGGTTATTGTAAAAAAGTAATTGAAAACACTATCAATGGTCTCAAGACAATTTTACAATGAAAACAAGTATTTAATACACAATAAAGGTTATTGATGGAATCAAGATGTTTTTGGACAAACTAAATGTAAACTACGGACCATCTGAAAGTACGGCTCCCCAAAACTAATGCTAATTTTTTAAATATCTCCCTATTGAACCCAGAAAGTAACAGTCCCACCAAAAGTAACCGCCCACCCAAAAGTTGCGACCCTTCTAAGATTACCATTAGATTATAATAAATTAATATATCACTGTCAACTCAAAGATACTGGACAATCCAGAAGTGTTCCAGGGGACACATGGGTCCAAGGAGGAGGACTGGAGATTCTTTGCTTTTATGAAGTTTTTTTAGAAACAAGGCACTAAAAGTCACTAAAAGAGAAACTCGCTGAACTTAAGTGTAAATTATGCAGATGAAACAGCCTGACAGCAGGACTGAACAATGTGAAGAGCTGTTTGTGATTTTAGTTCCACTAAGCTAAGATTGAGCAATGACGAAAGATGATATTGAAAGTTAAATTTTTAGAGCCATCTTCATAGATCTACATCTCCATTTATTTTTCATTATTTTTCATTTATTTGTCCATTTTATTTTATTTTTATTATGGTTCAGCTTAGAATTACAGTCTAAATATCTTTTACTCACAACCAGAAACTAATCACATGTTGAATAGGCTTGCCAGTTCCATTTCATAACATAAAATGTAGGGGTAACCACACGTTTTTTTTATAGTTATTCATTTTTTGGATAACTTTTACGGTGCCTGTTACATTTTTTCCTGTCTCCTCCCCAGTAAGTAAGACATTTGCGTATCTCACACTTGTTTTGCGCACGCACTATGCCATCTGCAGGTACATGTTTACAGTTGGATTTCAGTATCATTTTTAACAGATAACAGCTAGGTTTTCAGCTGGAAGATGTTAACAGTTAGTGGTTAGCAATATGCTCCTATTCTGGTAGTAGTTAAATTGGTAATTTTTAAAGTTCCCACTGAATTAGACTGAAGCGTACAGTTTGGTCACATTTTTGCTACACAACATCTGTATATTCTGGTTCTGTTTAATGCCAAGTACATTTGCCAAGGTGCCAAGGAATTATGTGAAATCGGCAATAGATATTGATTCTTGTCTTCTTTACACGTAACACATGAAAACCAACTGAAAAAGCTAAATAATATGAGTAGTAGCAATACACAAGCCAACCGCGAGCTCAAGTCAACCTCGAGTCAAACACAAGTCAAGCCAGCTTTTTTTTTTGTCCCTAAAAAAAATATAGATTGCAGGAAATAAAATATATGAATATACCTTTTTGGTACTTAATTTCGCGAATTTGGTGAGACGGTATTTTTTGGGGGGGGAGAGGGGGAGGTTATTTTCATGATTTCAATAGGCAAGTATGAAAAAAGGTCATTAAATTTTGCACTTCAAGCATTCTCAACTTCGCATTTTTACAAATTACCTTATAAGGCAAGCTGGAACAATCAAAAGGCATATTTGAAAATTAACTTTTTACAACTTGACCGTGATACACATTGTCTCAGTACGTAGTTCTGTCATGTCACAACAGAAGATACAAAATGGAACTTAACAGTAAAGCCAGCAAATAGTTTGTGTATTTGTCAATACATATCCTGTATATGTTGTTGTTATTACATGTTAATCTCTTTTTTTTCTGTGATTTGAATTTTCTACATGGGTGTTAAATTTCGGGTGTTTAAATTTCACGAGGATTTTTATTCGTGGGTCTTTAATTTCGCGATTTATTTACAATCACGAAATTAAAGACCCGTGAAATTAATTACCAATAAGGTAGATTGTCTTAGCAGTTAACATTAACATGCTCACCTCGATCGCCGCACGAAATTCCGGTTTTCTGTCAGTAGCTAGTCAACTAGATTCATGTCATTCACTATTTAGATAATCTGCAATGGACACAGCAAATAACGTGACTTGCCACCATGTTTGCAAGACTAGCGCGATCGAGGTGAGCCTGTTATTAAAATGTCCTGTTGTTAACTGCTAAGACAATCTATATTCATATATTTTATTTCCTACAATTTATTTCTTTTTTCGGGACGAAATGAAAAAAAGAAAACAATTGGCTTGGCTCGTGGTTGACTCGAGGTTGACTCGTGACTCGAGGTTGACTTGGGCTCGCGGTTGGCTCGTGTAACGCTACAACGTCACTCTGTAAAACTTTTTTGTTTCTATTTTTTTTTAATTTTACATTAAAACTATATTTTCACGTAAGAAATAACTTTAAATTATATTGTAAATCAGCTGATGTAAATGGCAAATGATAAATAAATAAAACCGAAAAAATTGCGTAAAACAAATGCAACCAAAGGGTTCCAATGAAAATCGAACCGCTTTGCAATATGAGCGGATTCAGTTACCTTGCCGTCATCATCAACACCTACAATCTTGTTTTGACATATATCCATCATATTTTCCACAGTAGAGTGGACCAGAGTTCCAGAAAATACATGTTTTATGCTCGACTCGCAGCCAGTTGTTTTTGGACAGGGTTCCATCTCCACCATTGTTGAAATAACTTTCCGGGGAGGACTGGGAAAGAAAGTACCACGGAAAGGCGGGAAATGTTGCATTGAGGCTCAGACTCCCTCAGCTTCTACAGTACGTATGGGTTATTGACCAAGTGTGAGGTCAAGATGGCTGGATATTGGCCTCGTTCTTTTTTTGCGAGTTTATGGACCTCGACTCCGTCTCGGTCC